AATAACAGAATGAGCAAATGGTAATGAGCAAGAACACTGGCATTACAAAACATAATTAAAAGCCAATAGCCTGCTTTCTAATGAAGAGTCCTTCGGGGATGAATAACTAAATTAGGCCCTCTTTCTTCTGTTTAGTCCTGTAATACAGAAGCTTCCTTGAAGGTTTTGGTTACTTCTTGTGCCTGAGCCAGCCTTTTTTAGGGGGGTTGGTGGGTGTTGAAAAAATATCCAGTATGAAAGAAGCTTCAAATTTAAAAGAAATGGAAAAATATTTTAAGAAGGGTATTAAAAACGTGGGACAAACATGTCCAATGTGGAAAGTTAGATCTTGACGGTGTCTGTCTGGAAAAAGTCTAAAAGCCCTATTCAATGACTTCTTGTTATCTTAATATCTGAATTCCACCAGTCATGATCCAAAATTCCAGAATCCATTCCAAATCTCTTCCACAAACTGCAGTGCATCACTGCTTTCAAAGGGTGTCTAATATTAAATTTCTGACCAAAAGAACGCCTATCCGGAATGTAGAAAAGCAGAGAGGAGGAAAAGAAAAAAGAAAAAGACAAGAAAGAAGCAGCTATGTGGTTTTGTGGGGCGCCTCCCTGGCCAAGCCTCATCACAGAGCCTCTTATCTGGTTGTTCATACTACGATTACATTTTAATCCCTCGATGAGTTCAGTGCAGCCATTCTATTCTCACACCCGTAAAGCTTCCAGGAGCCTTGGCTCCAGACTGGGTTCTTCAGGTCTTTCAGTGAGGAACCCCTCCCTGGTTGAGCCTGGTTTTATAACGTGTGCAGTGACTCATGCACTCAGTCATGGTAACTTAAAAAATATTGTGATGGACCTCAGAGAGTCCTATTAAAGGAACAGTTCAGTGAGGAATCAAATTTAAACAATTTTCTCCTCTACCCCAGGCAATCAGACACATTTGGTACATTTGGTGGCTGAAGTTTGCTTCACATTATTGTGTCTGAAGTTTTAAAGAAGGTAAGAAGGAAACATCAGACAGCAAATATGCAAATCATTTGGGTCTGATGTTTCCTTCTTTAATACAGTACTGGAGATACAAGGCTAATATAAAGCTAACAAGTAATGGAAGCTTATATCCCACCTATAAGCATCATGCAAAACTGCATGCCTCACATCATAGTGTCTTAAGGGCAGATGCGGTCTCGTAATGAGAAAATCTGGGAACAACAATGAGAAATTCTGAGCTAAATGTGGGGGTGAACATAGAGGGAGAATGAACTGAGCATGGAAATTCTAAAATAATCCAACAATTTGTGAAGTCAGAGCCCAAAGTAGGGGATAATGGTGCGCTTATCAACACTGTCTGATTGACAACAAGCCTGTTGTTAGGCCATGGATGTAATTCAAGTTAGCATGGCTAAAAACTCCCCTAAAAACTCCAAATAAGCATGCAGATGTGTCCATTGTGTAGAGAACACATTACATGCGGTAAAATCAAACAAGAGAAAAACAGTACTATTAGCTAAGGAGACCATTATGCAAGGTAGCTTGTTTTTCTTGTGCTATTGATTGTGCTCTGAACGAAAGAGCACAAGTTAGAGGAATTTGGGGACAGGTTTAAGACATGGCATACCCTTGTTTGTGGTGGATTTTGTTTGCCACCATCAAGCACTAAAAGTTCCCCAGACGCCTATTCTTGTTACAAGTTCACGCCTAGACCTGTGAGAGTAAATTATCACACAATTGCCTGCAATTGCTGCAAGTTGTTAGGTAATCTCAAACAGACCTGCTTAAGCTTATATGGTTTCTAATGCCGCAAACCCAGAAAATATGCACACAATTCAGGATTTCAAATGGCTGCTATTACTGACATCTTTTTGCCTCTTAGCTAGTTGATTAAAACTCCTGAAGCCAAACATGTCTTGGCTGTTCGACTACATTTGGGGTACAGGAAAAATTCTGAAAATATGTTTTGCTGGTCGGACTGTTCCTTTAAACCCATTCTGCCCATCCCCGTCCCCCTCAAAAAATAAATCTGATTCAACATTTCCTGAAGGCTGGAGCAGAGCCTCCACCCCCGCTTCGATCCGTTCACACACTCGCTGACACGCCTCAGCTAATGACTTAACCACCGAGTGTACCACACCCCGGCCTGCCATCCAGCTTCCAGAAGTGTCCGTGGAGAATGGCAGCAAAGTGCCAATGACGGACAGCAGGCAAAAAAAGAGCGACTCCAAAAAGCGATTATTCATCCGTCCCTTTCCAGTCTCAGGCCAAGCTGCCTTTTCTCAACCTCCTGCTCCCCCAGACATAAAAAAAAGAAATCTCTCTTCATTTGGAGCCAATTCGTTACATCAGACAGTGACGGGTTCTGGAGGGGAAGACGGCCAGGAAGTGCGAGTCCCAGCGGGGACCCCCGTTACTCACAGCCTCTGTGTTAGCAGGCCTGATTGAAACGTGGGTAAAGCTCCGAAGCTGGACAGGGGGAAATGATGTCAGAGTTTTGCGGGAGAGCCCATCCTTAGCCCTGTCAGTCTAGAGCCAGATCAAAGGTAGAGTGCAGCATTTAGAGCGCACATAAATACTTATAACATGTCACCACAATGTTGAATCTGTGCACACACAACTGCATGACCTTGGCTTTTTTAAAAAAGACATTTCAACTGAGGCCAATTCTGCTGCAATTTCAGGCAAGTGAATGGGTTACATAAAAGCCTTTGTGGAACACTCGTCTTTGCTAGTTGCTGCTTCTTAAGGTAGTGTGAGCCTGCCATCCTCCGACTGCTCGTCTTCAACAACCGAGGGCCTACGTCAGTACTTCTGCTGACACTCGAAACGCAGCGCCAGGATTATTTATAAAACTCACCAAACCTGACTTAATGAGGCCATAAGCACTGTGGCAGGGCCATATCACCTCGTTCATATGGCAGCCGCTAAGCCTGTGGGATGACTCACGACAGCATGCATTTCATATATAACACGCTCTGGCTTACATCAATAAGATAACAGACAGTCTAACATATGGATTATTTATATACAGATATATCTGTAATTTTATATCCAATTATCTTTTATTCACAAAAGTCCTTCCAGCTATGCAGTACCTGAAAGCAGGAGCAAACACTTTCAAGCCAGCCCACAAAACAAATATCTACATCAAGTCTGCAGCACACGGCAGTCCACTCTTACATTTATGTGCTGTGCGCCCCTTATGCTAGGGCCCAAAGCAGGGATATGTGCAGATATTTGTTTGTTTCTCGGCAGCAGCAGTGGCTTTATTGGTCTGTTTACTGCTCTCTGGGCACCTGTCTCAATTAGGAGTGCCTGGCTTTGAGGGCAACACAGAGCAGCCAAGGGCCTCCACAAATACTGACCTCAAGCAGGAATAACAACACATACACATGTACAGAGAGAGAGAGAGAAATGAAAAGGAGAAAGAGAGCAAGAGACGGAACATCTAGGCTCGAGATACACAACATCCCCGAACCAGCAGCTCAGGGTGAGAGTCAGACAGAAATAATTGATGACCCCTCGTTGTTGTGAAGTGTTTTGTGTGGTGGACAATGTTTCTTAGGCTTACCAGAAATCCCAGTCGATGTGTGCATGTTGCTTTCCAATCATATGTGGAAGGGGATAAAAAGATATACACTGACTGTCAAAAGTTTGGGGGCACTCTTTTTTTTTATTCTCTAGCACTAATACTTTCTGCAACATGCCTTACTTGGTATAAACGGTAGGTTTTACTTAAATTATGCATTAACAGTTTTCTGTTAAATGTCAAATGACTGGTAAAAATACAAATTCAAAATCTTTCACCCAAAAAGTGGTTTAAACAAGTGGTTCTCAAACCGATTCCCAAGGACACCAAGACTGTCCAGATTTTTGCTCCAAACTGACTTGAAAGATATAGTGATAGACCAAAAATGTGGACTGTCTGGAGTTCCCTGAGGACCGGTTTAAGAATCACTATTTGAAGCCTCTGAAAGGCTTGAGTGTGGATGAGTGCTGACATCACAACAAGGCAGGGACGGACTCAGGAGTGGGGCCTGTGAGGCATTAGCCCCAGGAAAAATCTGACTGGCCCTTTAAGTGCCCCCTCCTGTCAATCACAGTCTCTAAGTCACTGTCAATGATTGATATACACACAAACTAGTTGCATTTTGCCATTGTGAACAATAAATATGGTATTTGTGTAAATGGTGTAGATCAAAAGGAGATGCTAAACACACTCATCTTTTGATCTTGTTAGGGAAAGCAATAAGACAAAATACCAGGAAAACAATACAATTTCTGACATGTCTTGTATTAGCATAGCTGTTGAACTGAATGAACTGAATCATTTTACAACACTTAATTTTCATGTTAAAATTAGGGGAATTATTTTTGAAATTATTAGCTTTGTAATTAGATATTTTACCATGTCTGCTACTAAACATAAAACATACTAAATAATATATGGAATGAGCTATGTCAGTAGATGTTGTCGATGTTTAATAAACTCTTCCCCTTATAACAAATGTATTATGATATTATGAGATGATTATGAAGGCATTTGTTTGGCCCTTTAACTGGAATTGTGGCCCTATTATGGCCCCACCTAAAAAATGCCAGAATTACAAGAGGATAAATGTGAGTTTTCCCACAGTAGTACTGTTAAAAATACTGGCACAAAAACTACATAAAGATTTTGTTGTCCTCAAAATAAACCTGGTTAGTCTTTTATATTTCGAAGTGACAGTTAAGCCAAAATGTAACACGCATAATTTCCGCAAATATAGCCAATCAGCCAAAACATTTTTAGTGTCCAAAGTAAGAGGCAAACTTTGGACGCTAAAAAAAGGCCTTGGCTAATGGGTTACATCTGGAGTAAAGTGAAAACAGTGTAAATTTTACTTTTGGCAGAATCACCACTTCAAGTTATTGCAAAGCACCAGAGAAAAACATGCTAATTAGTAGGAAAAACAAGCCAGATTGGCCAAACTTTTGACAGGTAGCGAAGTAAACTGAGAAATAAAGAACTCTGCCCTTACCCGTAAAAGTGACTGGGACTCTTCCTTTGCACTCTTGCTTTCTGTAGAGCTGGGGTATTGCTGCCCTGGCTTCTCCGCTACGCTCGCTGGTGTCCCCTGCAGGTAGCCCTTAGCATCAGTGCTAAGGCTAAACATCAGGCTTGGTGAGTCCCGAAGCACCTTCTGTGGCTGCTGCTCCTGAACGGTGTTCAGCAGGCCCAGAGCCCCTTGGGTCTGGAACTGGGCGGGGCTACCCCTCAGGACCTCCGCTGCTCTCTCCTTAGGCACCCACACCAGTCCTGGGACTGCCTGCTCTGCGCCTCGTCCCGTGCCACGCGCTCCAGGCCCTGGGGCCTCAGACCAGGCCCTCTCTTTTTCCTTCTCATCCGGGGCCTCACTCTTTACGGCCTCGGCAGGCTTGGCCTCTGGAGGTGCCAAGCTGTAAAGCTTCAGGTCCCCTTTGCTCTCCTCTTTGATGCGCAAGGTGGAAGGGGCAGAGCAGCCATTGGCAGGGGCAGAACTGGGGTCGCCAGGGTCCTGGCAGTGGGCGGAGTTGAAGTGGTCCAGCAGGGCTGTTGTGTCGGCTGCCGTGAAGCTGCAGTGGCGACAACGGCAGCAGCCGTGAACCCTCCTGCAGACAATGAAGGGGGGGGAGAGAGAGAGAGAGATGTATGTTCAAATATAGTGTATTATGCATTGTCACCACTGCACTCAATACAGTGATGCTAATAAATCTATCTTGATTTGAAATGAACTGAATTAAGAGAAAGATAGGGCAAGAGAGAGAGAGACACTAACAAGTGGAAGGGAGAGGACAGAGAGAGACAGACATAGAAGAAAAAGAAGAGAAAGAGAGAGAGACAGGGGAGATAGAGGAGGGGGAAAGTAGAGAGACCGACAAATATAAAGAAAAAGAAAGAAAAAGAAACAAAGAGAGAGAGGAAAAGAGAAAGAGAGACAGAAAACATCTGTCACAGAAAACAGCAACATTTCAAAACAGCAAACAGATTTGCAGTCATTTTCACACTTTACATTCTAGTAAGCAAAAAACTGAGCGTGAACATTAGTCACTCCTGCACCTTGCAAGTATTTATTCTTCTCAGAGTGCCACCAGGGACACATAGTAAATGATTTGTCCGTTGTTGAATATGTCTAGCGCTGCTTTAGCTGAGAGCCCTGCCCCTGTAACTGAGGGCTGGATTTCTCTAATGCAGTATAATTACAGCTTGGTCAGCTCTTTTCACCTGTGTAATGACTCTTTGTTCTATTTCTTTCTGATAGAGAGAGAGAGAGAGAGCAACAATTCAGGCCCAAGCTCCCCACAAAACCTGCAGTAAATGAACAGTCTGCTGAACTTTAAGTAAATGAGTGTAATATTCCCCCTTGAAATCCGAACGATTTCCTATGAGCCTCGGCCCTCCTCTCTGCCATCGACCACCACAAGACAATGCAACTAAATTCTCATATACATTCAGCAAACAAACGGAAAAAAAAAATCTCACACTTGGCTTGCATCTAGCCTCTGTTTATTTTTCAAGCATCAATAAGTACGCTTGGACCTTTGCCACTGATCGATATCTTTAACTTCTGAACCTTAAAGCGCTGCGGTGGAGCCGCTTCACGGCATGATTTCAATGAAAGGCAACCAAAAGGAAAAGGACAGCTAGAAGTGATGACTATCAAAATCCTTTGCAGAGTTAAAGAGCCATGCTCAATTCACTCCTTCATCATCATTACAGCTATCTCTGAACATCACTTATCAGAAACAGGCTCTGGCAGGACTGACCTGGGTACATTCACGGGTGGACTTCACTTCATTTTTAAAGGAAAAGCTTTGCTACATAACCCTGGATGTTGGACAAATCCACGGACACTCAACCAAAGAAGCAGCTGGCCAGATACTCAGTGCCAGTACTTACTACTCAACGTTATGTAAACAAACAAAGAAATCAGTAAAGAAGTTAAATTGATCTTGTCTTAATATTTTTTTGCATTATTATTATGATTGTTGGCATTTCTATTAATTTATATTAATGCTGTCAAACAATTAAAATAATTAACTGTGATTAATTACCTTAGTTTGTGTAGTTAATTGCGTATGATAACAACTGTTTATTTGACATAATGGCACTAAAGAAAGATTTTTCTCCATTTATAAAGCAATACATTTTATATGTGTTCTATAAGTCTGAGTGTGTGTGTGATGACAACAATATATATACAATAATTACGTGTATTATATATATATAAATACAGCGCTGCTGTCCGATCAAAACCTCTCCATTTTTGTCGTTGTTCAGTTTTTGACATAATTTGAAAAAGCTCATTTCCCCTTACATTGTGTATAAATTTTATGAAGAATGGACCAAAACAAATGGCCCAAAATGACTTGGAAAAAAATATGGTTTCATCGACTTACACAAAGTATAGTATGTTTTTCCTTTCTCCTGTAAAGTTAGCATTTTGGAGATATAAGGTTTTCTTCCAACAGCAGCGATTTGTATATATACATAAACACATGCATATATATATATATATATATATACATATTGCACTGTTCTGCCCATGAACAGTTTTCGGTATCTATTCCATTATATCCTGTGGAAAATGTGTTTTTATGTTTTTGCATGTATGCAAATATGAAGGCACTCAAAGAAGCATTCCCCTGCGATCTTTGTGCCCCAAATCAAGGCGACACATATTGTTCTTTCTCAGGAGTACAACTCCAAACATTAGGATATTTTAAATGACAGAAAACAGTTTGATTTTATGTAGCAACATTCACTGTTGACTGTACATTCCCATGCTAATGATAATGCTAATGATAAAAGCATTCACTTAACACAAGTAGGCAAATGGTTAGAGTAAACTAAATTATGATTAAATTAAATGTGAGCAGCTGAACATATTGTGAATGGAGCTTTTATTTTGACATAGCAACGCATAAAATTTCTACAAAAATTTCTTATCTCAGTTCTGTGGTAAAAATACATTAGCCCACCTCCCCATGTGAAACTAATCCCACCCGAATAGTACTTATGACCACTATTACCCTACTGAACACGATCAGCTTTAAAACACATGATAAGCTTTAAACTCCATTATGCTTTGCCAACACTGCACTCCACACAGCCGTGCCAATAAAGCCATCTTGAACTGAACTGAATAGACAGAGAGAGAGGGAGAAATGAAGGAGAGAAAAGTCTGCCGTACATTGTGAAAAGGACACGACTGAGCTCGACTGAACAGGAATAAGTGACAACTGAGATCTGTTATCCAGCAATAGGCTTCCCCCAGTCACATTCAGACTAGAAGTGAAAGGGTGGGGGGTAGCTGAGAGAGAGACAGAGAGAGAGAGAGAGAGAGAGAGAGAGAGAGCTGAACAGCCAGCCGCCATCTCCGCTCTGCTCAGCACCAAATGAGGGACAGGGAGGAAAACTGCTTTTCATCAGCGCTGCCGCCCACCCTTCCCAGCACACACTGCGCTCATTTGTTCTGCTTAGGCACACAGCGACAGGGCCAGATCAAACGCTCCGGCACCCAGCGCCATGCAGCAAGGTGTACACACAGCCACTGCACACACAACACATTCCCAACACACTGTTTACAACTCACACACACACACGCATGCTGGTCTCCCATGCAGTCGCCAACACACCAAAGCTACAAACCCCACTGACTCATACATAAGCACACACATACTCACTGTAAATCACATAAACACACATACTCAGGTGCATAATATGAACTGAAGTCTGTTTCATGATATTTTCCACTATTTAGACAATAATGATGTGCAGTAATACACAGTAGTCAGAGATCATAATTCATTTATTTAATTTTCAGTCAAAACGGACGTTAAATGCAAGTTATTCATTTTCCAGCATCAGGAAAATAACAGAAAACATATAGCTTACTTAAAATTACACAGAAGCCCCAATATATACAAAACAAAATGTTTCATAAGTGTGTCCAGCCTTTGTCTTTATCAGTTTCCGTTCTTTTAGGGAGACTTGCTTTCAGTTTTCCAAGAAATCTGCAGGGATACTTTCCACACCTCCAAAGTTCAGTCTTAGAAGTTGGTTGTATTTTCTGCTTTTCATGATCCAAGTAATCCCAAACACATTTAGTGATGTTGAGGTCTGGACTCTGGGATGGTCAATCCGTTGTTCTGAAAGCATTAGTTTATTTCCTTTTTCTACATCTTTGCAGACCCATAGTGTTGAGTTGTCTCTCACAGTTGAAGGATAGACAAAAACACCACCAGATTATTTCGGTTCTATTTATCTGATAGTGATAGTTTTGGTGGTCTACCAGGTCTTGCACGGTTATTAGTAGTCCAATTTTCTCTGTATCTTTTAATCATATTTTGAACTCCAGTTTTGGAAACTCCTGTTTTTTCACTTAGACTTCCCCGTCCCTTATGCAAGTGGCTTATCTTATATCTAAAGTCCTCAGAAATATCTCCTGAAGATTGAATAGCTTGTAGTTGAGGGCCGTATTGACTAGAAATTAAATAAATGAAGGGTGGTCTCTGACTTTTGCACAGTACTGTTACAAGTAAGCAAACACAACCAGCGTCAATCAGCTCCATCATACTCCTGTGCATGCATGGCTTTAGAGTGGTGAAGAAGACTGCTACTGTCACTATCTTTACCTAACCCAGTACCACCATATAACAGTGCCTGCCATCAATGTAATTAATTAAAAAATATTGCATGGAACAGCAGCCTATCTACTTTTATACCAGTACACCTCCCACCCCTAACAAACACTAACCTGAGACAAAAGACACAGATGTTCAACATGTGACTTGCCTCTAGCCTGGGTAACATTTTATTAATGTAAATAATAACATCAACAGAGATCACTCACAGATTCAATTACAGCTTTATGGGAACAAAAGAGAAAGTCCTCCAGTTCATTCTGAGAGATTTTATAAGGCCTTATTACAGTGAGCTATGCGTCTAGTCAATGGTTTTAGATGTGAGTACTTGTGATTACTCTTTAAAGCACACAGCAGCTACTCCTGTGCCCCTGTTTTTTTTTGGTTGTGTTTTTCCTCCATCTTCTCCAAACATTCGATCGCAATAAGCAGTCACACAAAGCACGGCCCGTGTCCAACATAAATCGGCCTCCTCGTTCAACCCCACTGTCAAGAAACACAAATATTTTCGCTGACCCCCAAACTGGGAATTGATTGTTGGCCTGTCTGGAGAGCGGCAGGGAGCATGCGTCTCGCAGGGCTGAGACACATTTCGGTCGGCTGGCTCAAACGCACCTTGAAGACAACAATACAGCTTTGGTCCGCAGTCAGTCGAAACACAAAATGGATGTGGCACGTTTGTTGCAGTAGTTTTGTAGTAAAAATGCTGCCCAAAGTAGTCCTCTTTGTTCTCAAGTAAGTTTGAAAAGAAGTTCACTGCAACCATTCATTGCATTAAAGTCTAAAATCGAAATTGACATTTCATCACATAATAGGTCAACATTCTTGTTTTCTGAAATCTTCCATCAAAATGGAATGACTTCTGCCTGCCTCTAAAACTTCGTTTGAGTTCACCATGCAACTTGTAGCCCTCCCTGAACCTCCCTGTTACAGTGTTTCACTCAGAAACATGTCACGACATAGAA